TATTTTGTTTATTGAAAATGAAAAATTAATTTTTTTCCTATTTTTTTTTACCGATCGATAAACGTGTAAACAGAAAATTAAAATATCACAGTTCCTTAACCTTTGCTTATATATTCATGAATTTCAGTAAATAAATTATTAATATATTAATAATTTAAATGCTAACGTTTCGTTTAAATTTAAATAATACCTATTTAAGGTATTAATTTTAATTACACGTATTTTAACTTTTGCAGAATTATAGAAAGATTTTAAGGGAAATTAATTTTTTAAATTGCGTTAATTTTTATGTATTAACAGCCGTATAATTTATGCAGAGATGAGAATAAAAATTCCCCAAAGTGTCTTTTTATTAAATTATTTAAATCACATTAATTTCCAAGCAGGGAATTAAAGAAAGAAACGAAGAAAATGGATAAAAATAAGATTATTCTAACTAATGAGTATTATTTTTGTATTTTAATGAATGTATTTATTATATATATATATTACTGAATTGTTAATGTTTATTGCATCGTTTCTACCACTTAATCAGTTAAAGTTAAGATTTTGAGCTCGAAAAAATTGTAACGTATAAAAATAACAAGTAGGTGAATAACTCCTCGACTATTAAAGCAATTTTAATATATTTCCTTGTGTTATTTACTGACTATATACTTAAGTAATCTGCAAAGTTTCATAAAAATTGAATTATTGCTTTTAAAGTTATTTACTTAAACTTGCCGCTAGACACACGCAACTCGCTTAACTCATAAAATTAGCTTTAAAGTCCCAATTTTATATATTATTCTTTCGGTTTTAATAGTTTATCGTTAGTTATGCGGGATAATAACCTATTTAAAATTGAACTTTTTTAAAGTGTAAATGTAAAATTAAACGTTTGTGAAGCTGACAACTGGGCGGAACTCCTTTCTTTTCTTATCTTGTAGGTAGAGAAGGAAAGAAAAAAAATTTAAAGTTAATTTTCTTGTACTTAATCCTAGGTAATAATGTTTTTTCCTTAGTTTAAACATTCACGTAAAGCATTTTTTTTATCATTTTATTTATAAAATTATTTAAATATATTAGAAAATTAGAAATATATCTTAATAATTTCACGTTAATGTAATAACTACTCTTACCTTCCTAGTTTTTTCATCTGTATCTAAGCAGNTTTAAAGTTAATTTTCTTGTACTTAATCTAGATTAAAACACCGAAAATTGTCAACAGTGTGAAAGCGAAAAATGTGGAGAAATTTTGTAATTTTCTTGGGCATTTTTAGTTTTAAACTATTGCAGAAACGTAACCTTTTATTGCTCTAAACATAAAATAAAGAATTCCTTCCCCCTTACTTTAAAGAAATTGTTTAATTAATCTCACGAGGAATTATATTTTAATCAAGTTTTGCGATATAAAAACTTTGTTTATTAATTAAAGGATGAAAATTCATCACTTTTCTAGCATTAACATGTGGAAAAAACTGAACTGCGGGATTATTTAAGTCTGTCTACATCAACTATAACTTATGATACGAGCATAAAATTTTGAATTAACAAAAAGTTTTGATGTAAAAATTAAATTTTTAATTCAAAACATTTTTTCTCTTCCACCTTTTTTTAAAGCTATATAAAGCTTATCATTCTAAAGTTTCCATAAAAAGAAACTTACGGGAATAAGCGTACGTCTTCTTGTCTGTCCACTAACTGGTAAGAGAAATCTAAAATGGCTCCATTGCTTAAAATTTGTTGCATATGTTAAAAGATAAACTGTAAACATTATACACTTTAACCCATAATAAAGTCATTCTATAGCATCATTTCCTTCGATATCATCACTGTAGTGTCAACTCCTTGTTATTCTTTTCAATAAAAATCCCGTGTAGAGGCCATTTTCTAGATTAGATTCACTACAATTTAACATTTTCGGGGGACAATTGTGATATCTTTTCTACAGTAAAGGGCAGTGTGTGATTTAAATTCAGTCCCCTAAAGCCCTCATAAAGTTGTTTGAATCTCCATACAACAATCTCCATTTACACATTTTCTCTTTTATTTAAGGGTCGATAAAAAGGGTAGATGCTGGACATTTCTCGATTATATAAAGGTTTGAAGGTTCTTCTTTAGAAAATTTTCTAAGTTGGAACGTGGCTTGCCCCGAAGTTGAATCTATATCTCCCCCATGCCGCATACCTGTCTTGAAAAAGTTCAGATTTACAGCTTGACTTTATCGCATCCACTCGAAGGCATTCCTTCGAGAATCGTTCACAAAATCCACTAAATTCTGTACTTTATCTCCGGTTCCACCCTTTTTACCTTATTTTTTTTCTTAGCGGATTCGGAAATTAGGAACATTTCCGTTAACCGTACACATATAGATCGACGGTTATTTTTTACTTTTATTAAATTAAACAGCAAACTTTGCTCTTTCCTCCTTTCCTACAGCTCGAATCTCTTACTTGTTTCCGTTTTTTCCACTTTATATAACGTATTTATATCCTTAAGCATCGATTTTCTAAGTTACGAATCCACTTTGGAACCTTAATAAAAGGCTAAACTTTTTATCTTTGTGAAAACAACAATAAGAAATAAGACTCATCCTCATCCTCTATATAACATTTGTATCAATCTGTTTGGGATCCATAAATTTTTTGGACGGATTTCTAGTTTTGAATCTGTCTAGGATCCTTAGAGACTGGAAAACCTGATAAATAGCATCTCAGTTTTTTGTATATCTCACGAGAAGTAGAGAAGAAGAGGAGGCAATTTTCTTATAAATTCCCTTTTCAATTATCATAATTTCGCATTAAATCTACTTCAACATTAGATTGTAAAGGAAATTCATTGGTAAAACTATGTAAAACTTTAATATAAAATGATTTAAATCCTAGCAAATTATCCAAATTTATCATCACTCGATGTTAAGTTAAGCTTCGAGATAATTATCATCTTGATAAGAGAATGTGTGATTAATTTAACAGTAATTTTATATAAGAAACTTAACTATATAATATATTTTAGAAAATAAGTATAATAATTACATTTAATCATTAAATTTCTTATCATTCAGAGATTTTCATCTTAGATGTATTTAATATAAAATTATCGCATCATCATGTAAACTAAATTTAAAAAAAACATATCTAAACGTAATTTCACGATAAAATCTATAAAAAGTAATAAAATTATCATCATTTAATTATAATTAAAAATAAACAATCATCTAGATATATAATTAAGATAAATTGTATTATTCAAATAATGACATTTAATTGATAGTATTACATGCAAAGGTAATCATTATCAGCAGAATAATGAATTTAAATTTATATAAAGTTATAATTATCAATCGAATTTAATAAATTGTAACAATATTTATGAATATAAAAATTAAATATTAATTCTAATTTAAGTTGATCACGATAAGGATGAAGAAGAGCAAGATGAGGATGAGGATGATCTTCCTCATCAGTGAGGAAAACTCCGAACAGTCCATCTTCGTAGTAACGATTTAATGTATAGAAATCTATAAATTCGATATTATTCTTTAGAAAGAGAGGAGAACTTTTTGTGAAACTAGCAAAACTCTTATATGCTTAAGAGATTAAAAAAAGGTCTTAAAAAGTCACACGTAATGCTTTCTGCAGTTTAAAAAAAAAGAAAAAAAATTCCGATAAAGCGGTTCAACCTCACAAAATAGACTCAAAAATTGAGTTCGAAAATTCTATAAATAATTTATAAAAATGATAATTCTTTCAAATAATCTTAACTATTATTCTGTTCTTTCGCCTTCCATTTTTTAGTAGAAAATTTTAAGATTAAAATTATTTTCGTAACGACTAAATGATTTTTGCCTTTTTATTATCTTTTCGCGTGTAGAGAATATTTTTTCTTTCCTTTTATTCTTTATATATATATAAATTTTTCTTCTTGCCTCAAGAAACTCGCTCTTGAATATCTTTGAAAAATTTTAATAGCGGGATTCATATGAATAATTCCATTAACCTATGTCAAAGTAGCTTATAGCTAGTTAGATAATACAATTTTCTGTTTCACGCTTTCCTTTTTATCTTCTAACTTTTTTTTTTAAATTCCAATTTACAATTAACAATCTGCAGAGTTGTGCAAATTTTTCTCTTCCAGCATCGCTAGCAATTGGCATCAATTAGAATGGATAAATCTAAGCGTTTGACTGGATTAACTCGCTTTATAATCGTAAATTTATACAAATTGTAAGCGTGTTTTAATCAATTAATGCTTATAAAAAATCCGCCAATTTTTTCCTTATTTTTTAAATATTTTTTTCCTTAGATTCTTTCTCGCACTCTCTCTTTGGGACGAAATAAAACAGATCATTACGCATTGTGAAAATGCAGATTCTTGCTTCTACCATTGGGTGATTTTGTCTTCTTTTTTTAGTGATTTTTCTTTCTATAACCACGATAAACATCGATCGATATAGGACAATACATGGAAGCACACACACAAACACATAGAAGCTGCACCCAACCAAAAATGGGTATTGCGATCGTTACAAACGACCATCTTCGCGCACGCTTATAACTTAGACCACGTGGTACTTTAAATAGACGAAAAAAAGTAGTTTTTGGATAAGTTTCCCGGGCCATCTTATTAGTTTTACCCGCATGGGTGGGGCTGCTAAGGGTCTTGTTGAAGAGGAGTACACAGCGACCGATCTGCCAGTCTAATGAAATAACCTATTGATCGCATGCTGCCGGAGAGTGTGTGCGAGTGTTGTGTGTGTGTGTGGTGTGTGTGTGTGCGAGAGGGGTGAAGGTGTTCGTACGAAACGGTGTCTCCAGACATGCTAAGTCACGACACCCAATAATTGATGACTACACGAAAATAAAGCCATTTGTCCGGCTGGTCAAGCCAGAACCACGCGTGAGCTTACTAAAGCTTTCACTCCACAGCCATGGCAGAGCTGGGAGTGACAGCAAGCTCGCTATTTCTCGTCGTCTTCTTGCCTCACTTATCTTACTCGTGCTATAAATTTCCACCAGATATGAAGGATCCCTGCGAGGATAAGAAGTGCAACTTTGGAGCTCAGTGTAGACCATCGCTGGATGGGAGGACTGCCGAATGTGTATGCCCCGAAAAGTGTGCATCCTATGGTGACAATCGTGGTTCTAGACCCGTCTGTGGTACGGATGGTAAGGACTATGGTAACGTTTGCGAACTCAGGAGGACGGCATGCCGCGAAATGAGAGAAGTCGAAGTCAAATTCCAGGGAAGATGCGGTGAGTAGCGATTTCCTTTTTTGATACCCTTAGATTATACGCGATACCGCTACATGGATGGCGCGACGCGTCATACTTCACGTATATTTTTCTTAATTTCACGCGTTAATTAATTAATTTAATTAGATTTAACGTGTAATTTTTCCCGTTTTTTCACCATATCTCGCGGGTTTTAGACAGTGTTGTCATGGCTTAACCCCTTATGATTTATCCAATATAAACAATGTATCAGTTTAGTGTATAGATTCAATTCTTCACTCAAACACGTCCTCTATGGACTTGCTTTAGTCGATAACGTGGGACAATTTGTCAAAGAGTCGTTTCACAAGCAAAGTCGATAGCGAGTTGACGTTCTTTCACATAGAATACTAACCCAGAGAGAGCCACTTAGTGTTGCTAGTAACTTATGGTGGCCTGCCAATTATAGATTTTAAAGTGACTTTTACGTTACTTAACCGTGAATTTGTATGGATCACCTTAAAAATAGATGGAGTAGAGGAATATTTAATTAGGATTTCTTCTCGTTTGTTCAAATTCTTCTCGGCTTATCTAACAGAAGAATTTCGAAAACATTGTTTTGTTTTATTTTATCTCATAAATAAATAGTCTCTAGCGTAACAATCTGATAAAAAAAAATCTTCTCGAGCGTGTTATCTTCATAGAGCTCACGCAAAACATTTTAAGAAACATCATTCCATTATTTTATCCTTTAGAGGAGATGGAGTAAAACCGTTTACAGCAGTAAGAAAAACATTAATTTAAATGGGATTTAAACGGTAGAAAGAATAAATAAATTACCATTCGATACCTTATAGACCTTATATAAATATATATATACACTTTTCCTTATCGATTTTATAATAATTTTCCAAAAATACTCATTTAAATTCGGTAAAAAAATCATTGGAGCATAAAATTTAAAATTTGAAAAAAAAATTAAAATATAAACCTTTGCAGCATAGAACTAGATTTTCAATTTACGTTATTGTGTTTTCCACTGTCTAGATTATATTTTAAAACTTATACTTCATAAGCAAAGATTATAAACCAAATGTTATAGTGAGGTGAACTTAAAAGAATAGTAAACAGAGAAAGGCAATTTTCTTTAATGGCATAAAAATAAAATGTTTAGGAAAAGACATCGTTAAGGATGAGTTAATGGTATTTGGAGCTAAGTTTGTCTATCGGCTTCTTTAGAAGGTGACATTTTTTTTTCTTTTTCATCTTAAAAACAACTTAAACAAATGCATTGGTATAAAGGGGTTCCGATGGGATTAAGAACTTTAAAATGATCTAGTGATGTTTTAAGAAGTTGAAGCACGTTTCTTTCTATCTTGATATTACACATGAACAGTTAATTAAGTAAGAGGTTAAGCGATCTTTTTTTTCTCTCATCACGCTCTGATTCTTATTATTTTTTCTATATTTTCCTGCTTCTTCAGTAACTGAACTTGTTGAAAAAAGTTCTAGCTTCCCAAATAGTGTTTGTCCTTCGATTTTCTGCCCACTGTCATTTCTGTACCAAAATGAACCGAACGTTCTTCGGCCTCAAGCCATCACTAAATGATAGGTATTAGTGGTATAAATGTTACTTCCTTGTTGCAGTTATTTTTAGCTTGTAGTTACAGGACTAAATGTACTATAGATCGTTTGTTTGATAAATATTTCTTATACAATTACTACTAAAGAATACATTTAAAAGGCCCAAAACTTGTAATTTTCATTCGATTCATGTTTAAGGACGTAGCTAGAAAATCGAATTCGATTATTTTCTTTCTGTAATTTGAAATGTTACCTTTTCCAATTTTATTGCTTTGTAGAACTGCTTTACGAGATTTTTACAAAATATTAACTTTGTAACGTTATTGGAAGTGGTCGAGAATCTTTATGATGAACATTCCTATTTTCAATTTCTTGTAAGAATGGAAATACATTCTTGTACAGTTTGGAATGTTTTGTTTTCTCAATTTAATAGTTAAACAGGACCATTTTTCAACATTTTGCCAAATATTAGGTTCTTATCTCTAACAGAAGTATGCGATAATCTTTATGATAAACACTTATCCATTTTCAAGTTCTTTTAAGAACATAAGAAGAATGGAGATATATTCTTGTATATTTTAAAATATTTCATTCTCTCAATTTAATGGTTAAATAAAATCATTCTTCTATACTTTTGCTAAATATTAGGTTCCTATCTCTAGCAGATGTACCCAAGAATCTTTATGATGAACACCTTCCTATTTTCAATTTCTTATAAGAATATATGAAGAATTCAAATATAGTTACGCCTGGCTTAATATGTTTCATTCTCTCAATTTATTATTGTTAAATGGAACCATTTTTTTTCATTTTTTCTAAATATTAGGTTCGTATGTCTCTCAAAAGCATCCGAGAATCTTTATGATGAACACCTTCCCATATTCGAATTTTTATATCAAATATATTAAATATTAAGAAATATTCGCCCATAATTTGAAACGTTACGTAGTTTTATTACTTAGAAAACTCTTTCACTAAGATTTCATGAATATTAAGTTCGTAACATCAGTGAAAGTTGTCGAGATTCTTTACAGTGAACGTTTCCATTTTCAGCTCACATATGAATATAAAAAAATGGAAATATATTCTTTTAAAGTTTGAAATGCTTCCTTTTCGTAATTTGACAGTTAAGTAGGGACATTTTCTATATATCTACCAAATTTTAAATTCATATCTCAGTTAGAAATGCTGGAGAACCTTTATAATGAACATATTCCCATTTTCAAGTTTTATATTTATACACATCTAAGAATTAAATTATATTCATTAATAATTAAAAAATATATTACACTTTCACAATTTTATTGCTTAACAGAACCTCTTTCACAAAAGTTTTTGCCAAATATTAAATTTATAACAAATTCGAAAGTGATCGATAATCCTGAGGGTGAATATCACTATTTTCAACCAAGGATAATGGGAGGATAGAAAATATGTTTTTCTACAGTTTAAAATGTTTGATTTCTATATTTAGAGTTAAGTAGGGCCATTTTTCTATACATATATATATTTTTTTAATTTAAACTTCTCACTTTTAGAAACTCTTGAAATCTTTATGATGAGCATATTCACATTTTTCCGATTTTTATATGGAGCATATCAAAAAGTAGATTACATTTTTACCTTTTAGCAAAGTAACTGTTAAAAAGTAGCTTTTTCTCCAACGTTTACGTCAAATATTAAGTTTGTAGTTATTTTAAAAGAGCAGGAGAACCTTTATGATATACATGTTCTAGTTTAATTGTTGAAGAAATAAAAATTCTCTTTATGTAGGAAAATTAAACGTAATTACTTTCACACTCTAGCAATTAAGAAAAGCAGTTTTAACCCAAATTTTCGTACGAAATATATTAATTCTTACCGTGCGAGGTAGGATCTTCAACAACGAACCATCACCCCAAATGCGATTCCAGTAATGGAAATTGGATGAAAGAGCAATTTAAGTAAATGTCGTGTTATCAATTTAGTGAAAATTGATATCGTGTTAGAATTGACATTTATTTTGTCAGAAAAAAATCCGAAAAAATCCAAGAAGTTTTATCTCAATTTGACATTTGAAAACTTCAACAAGAAAAATGATTGCAGATGTATAAAAAAAATATAAAAAAATCCAAAACAAACTGATGGGTTCAACGTTAATATAACACCAACGATTTGGCGGATTTTTAGATAGGCTGGATGGTGTTTTTTGGCCGAAATCTCCCTCTCATTCTGTCTACCTCACCGGAGACAAATGACACTTGCGGAAATAGAGGACAAGCTAGCATATGGCTGAAAAGGAACTGGCCCAAGTGACGACTGCAACTACACATTCTCCCTCCTGTTTCGATACTCTTCCAACCGTATGACAATTTGTCTTCCTTTCTCCCTCGTTTTCTCCACGCTTCTTGGAGCAGCAGATAGAGGCTACACTCCGAAAATACTTCTGTATTCACCAAGCAAATGATATTACTTTCTGTCGTCTATGGTGTGTGTCCCTCCATTAGTGCCATGGTCTTATCTTGCTCCGCATCCCGACCTTCATCTTCTTTTAAAACTGTGAGAAATTATCAGTTAAAACTTTCTTCAAACGGGGTGTATCGATGTACAAAATGGAATAATCCATAGCGGAAATTGTTTAATAAGTGCACATTTAATATATTTACCTTTCACACATCATAAATTTCGAATGGATAATGAATGTTTTATGCTTTTCCTGTTTAGATAATGAGTTAAAGTTTGATAAAATGGAAACTTTAACAGCGTTAGTTTGTACTGTTAACACGATTATTGTATTTATTTAACGCCAAAAAGTAGTTTATAAAGTGAATTTCTTTACTTTTAAGTGCGGATAATCCCGTGATAATGGAAAATTTTAACTATTTTCACGTAGAGGATTAATTATAAGTGATAAAAATGCACTCGATGCAACTCGTAACCCCGTTGTAATTTAATTAGAAATCCAATTGAGAGTTTTGATTCCAGAATGGTAACTCGACCACACCCAATAAGCTATAAATAAAGCAGAAAGGGTATATTCATTATTGAAAAAGAGTTTCGTCATGCATACGAAATTCTTATCCACTTAATTATTATTTTTATGGGTGTGATACAGGTTAAGTTAGGTTAGAGAACCTATGACGAACCTTATCTTCATCCCTTCACCGAAATTTTAATCATATCTGAAGTAGTAGAAACGGAAAATGTAAACAGAAAATAGGAAAAGTCGAGAAGAGTGATGTTTGGATAAGAGTTAGAGTAAAGGAATTTCGACTCGAGTAATCTCTTTACGGAGATCTTAGTTGTTAATTAATATTCAACGGTTATCACTAGACGTTATTTATGTTCAAGTTATGTACACGGACGACGTCACAAACCAACCGACCATTCATACATTCACTTCTTTAATGTAAAGCAAATTAACGAGGTGTGAGGCTATGATTGCATTTCTCCAGCATTTTCTTGATAATGGGATACTT